AGAGTAGTACTTACTCCACTTGAAAAAGTTCATGTACCATTTGGATTGTTTTCTCTTTAAAAAACTCGTCAAACCACCTTTTGTTATAATCATTCGTAGCAAACCCCTTTCTAGGAACCAGTTTCATAATTTTGAAATTATTTATCTTAGTAATATAATTGAATATACAAGTAATTTTATTAAGATGTCAAAATTATATAAAAATGTTAATCATTTTCCAACTATTTACTAGTTAAATTTGTTCATAAAGCAGATTTTACCATAAATAACTTAACACAGATGTATTTGACTCATTTTTTGAATCACAAGAGCAAATGCGCAAAATTTATATTTCGCAAGATTTTGGAGCATTATACTCGGAACATGTGGTGTAATGTGTGTATTAAAGTGTAGAGTTTTTGTGAAAAATGCTTGGCGTACACATTTCGGTGTACACCTTTCGTACATTTGTCTGTCTCACGCACACAGAATTGCCTGTCCACAAACAACTCTAAGCGTGAGACAAACGAGTGTACATCAAAAACTGTGCACCTGGCACAACTCATTTTTTGTACACTCGTGTGTGTGTGTGTGTGTAGAGAGAGAGTACTCTTCCGGTCAGGAACAGTCGTCCGAACAACGGCGTTTGAGACCTTTTTCGGTAGAATTTTTTGATGAAATTTTTATGGTATATATATACGTACGTGAGACCCATACTTAACGTGAGAACATGAGAACTCCACTTTAAAGCAAATGTGATGCACTATAACATGAATACGTTGCACATTTTCATGCTGACAAAATAGTTATGAATCCACCACAACATTTATTTGATGTTGGCTTGTTTTGACTAAGTTTAAAAAGTGTAACAAATGAGGCTTACTGTGCACCAAGTTGTGTTAAAAGAGCATCATTCTCACGTTCTCACATAGTTGAAGAGCTTAATGCTCTTATTGTCAACCTCTTATTGAATTTTAGCGGTTGCAATAAGAACCAAGATTCATGTGACAACGTGAGAACCATGTCACTACCAATAGTTGAAGAGCTTAATGCTCTTATTGTTAACCTCTTAAACACAACTACCATGTCAACCAGCTCTTCTGATCTCACATAGTTCAAGAGCTTAATGCTCTTATTGTCAACCTTTTAAAAGAACATGTCACTGCCAATAAATTCATCGGGGATGACATTTACAACACATCTGTCATTTCGGGGGTGACAATTACAACACATCTGTCATTTCGGGGGTGACATTTACAACATCAGAAAAACGGATCTGACATTTCAATATGTTGATCAATTGAGAGATCAAAAGTGCGATCTTCCATATATTTTGTATATGTATCATTAATAGTCATTTTATGTTTTAATAACTACTCGTGGATAGCTAATAAGTTGTCAGACATTTTATTTCAAACAACTAGACTAGTCAAAATAGTTAACACAACCACCGTCGATTACCAAACACATTACTTGTGTGTGAAATTCATTTTTTAGATTCGACAGGGTGGAGACAGCCGGACAGGGAGGGGCTGGAGGGGGCATTGGTCCCTGCAAGAAAAAAAATCATAAGTATATATTATGTTTAAATACATTGAATCTAGAGAAAATATGTTGATATTTTAAACTTTGACCCCCACAATGAAAAACTGTCAAAGCTCGGCCCCTTTAACCATAGATTTCTAGCGAGTGAGCATGTATCAGAAGTGCAAGCTACTATGATATTCCATCTTGGTTTTAGCAGAAAATTGTTATTTGTACCATAGAATATGCTCTTACAATCAATTTTGTTTGTTAATCAAGGATTCATGTACGCCTAAATTAAATTCCCACGTCTCTTGAAATTTAAGGATCACTTCACCTTGATGGTTGGGGTCCAAAGAATTGATGGACTGAGGATGACCTTGAACCTAGCTAATACATACTGAAAAAGGATGCCTCTATTGTAATGGCCGGTCATGAATTGAATTCGGATCTACCCTTTAGTGACACCTACAAAAATACAACATTTTGTGAAAAATAATGTGTTTGTGAAGGATTTGTCGAAAGATATTGTTTGTGACATAGAAAAAGTTTAACAAACACAAAAGTCAAATTAGAAATTTTGTCTCTGTTGAAAAAATTTAAAATTATATTCATGCCAACAAAAGTGTTATGAATTTGTCGTATTATTTGATAGAACGTCAAGAAAGAGGGAAGATATATATACTTCGACTGTCCAATCAAATTTGATCGAATTTTACACTTCCAATAAAAAATGTAAATATGAAATATGATTAGATATAGATTTTTGTGCATAGTCAATTCACTTATTAGATGTTATAGAAAATTCCTTTTTCTAAAATGAAAATCAATTGTCTACACATAGACAAAATACACTTGGTTGTAAATGGACGTGTAAGTCAGGATGTACAAGTAGCATTTTTGTAAAACATTTGCATCAATAACATTTTGTATGTATTATTTGTGCAAAGATAATGAAAGATATTAGTTTCCATGTAATAATTGTTACAACACCAGATATGTTTTTTAGTTGCTAGTAAATATCCTAAATGGAAAGAGGTCATTCTTGAAGAGCTTAATGTTCTTCAATTTTCACAAAAATGCGATTGGTTCTAAATGAATTTATAAAATGAAATCCATCTGTCATATTGGACTTTGTCAACTTTCTTTTTTGGTTGTCCTAAAAAACTTTGTAATTTTCCTATTAAAACAACTAATTTGTGATTCTGCACATTTCTGATCTACAGTTTTTACTTTTCTTATTTCTCACCTACTTTACACTTGACAAAGTCCACCGAGACAGAGGTAGTATAATTTTTATGGGTGTGTTGACTGTTGAGCATTATTACAAAGCTCGTCTTGTCACACATAGGCTTAAACAACAAGTTGGCATTGATTTTTCTGATACCTTTACTCCAATAGTTAAACCTACAATAGAGAAAAAAGTCAAATAAGGTCTTCTACTATTACGAAATCGTCACATAAGATCATCTACTCAATAAAGTGTCATATAAATACGTCTACTTATAAAATGTAAAAGATGAGTCCTAACGACACATTGACAACCTCCTAATCTCGATTTTAGCTTAGGTGTCATTATTTTTGCCTTGTATTTCAACCAATCTTAGCTAAATATTCCGTGTTAACCTTATAATATATTTTCAAAAGATAGTGAAAAACACGCTAAAATCGGGATTAAAAGGTTGTCAATTGGTCGTTAGGCCTCATTCGATTGTTTTTTTTATAAGTAGACGTATTTACATGACATTTTATTGAGTACATGGCCTTATATGACCTTTTCATAATAGTAGATGACCTTATTTGATCCTTTCCCCCTACAATATAACAGTTCATATTGTTCTTACCTTGACACTCTCTTTTGATTGATCTATTCGACACATAGATGTTAAAATGATTTCCTTCATGGTCATCTCACTGAGGTTTATATGCATCTGCAGCCTCATTTTTTCATCCTCAATTTTCCTCACATATATGTGCGCAATGTCATTTATGGTCTCAAACAGGCCCCACATGCTTACTTTTTACATGTTTATAGTAATGCCTATAATTTCTTATTTATTTATCAGTGTTCTTCTCGCGTTATTTATTTGTTAATGTACGTAGATGACGTGATTGTTACAAGAAATTTCCCGATATTCATTAGTCACTTTATATCTCTCCTAGCGCAATATTTTGCTATGAAAGATCTCGGGTCTTCATTTTTTCTAGTCATCCTGGCCAAGTGTACTACTTTTGGTCTTTTTCTTCCTCAACTCTAATATTTGTGATATTCTTAATCGCTTTCATCTACATACCTTGAAGCCTGTGTGCACTCCTCTTTCTAGCAGATTTAAACTTCCCTTACTGGTGATGAGTCTGATGACATAAGAATATCACAAATATTAGAGTTGAGGAAATAATGCTGATAATGGTGATAATGGTGACCTTACTAAGGTTGAGTATCGTGCTATTGCAAATAATGTTCAGGACACCTGACATGCTCCATCTATTTTATGAGGTTGATTTCCCGTGAGCTGAGGTTAAAGTTTTTTGTGATAATATTTATATGAATCCTATTCAGCATGTCAGGAGTAAGTAGAGTTTTTGCCACTTTTAGTCCTACGACTAATAAGACTATTATGTCACTCACATTTGTGGTACTCGACTTTGAGTTTTTCCACTTTTAGTCCTTCGACTATTGGGCGAAAGACACTTTAGGTATCTGTCTTTGATAATTTTCACATTTAGTCCTTTGACTTTCATAAAAATGACATTTTTGGTCCTTTAACTATTAAAATAGTGACATTTTTAATCATCCACTTATTGTATCAAAATCATAGTGGAAGGAGTCAATTTGATAATTTGAAGTCAAGGACTAAAAGTGTCTCTCGCACAATAGTCGAGGATTAAAAGTGGAAAAATTGAAAGTCGAGTACTAAAAGTGTCACTGACACAATAGTTGAGGGACCAAAAATGACAAAAACTCGTAGCAAGTAACAACAATGATTATCACTTTGTGGTGAAATAATGCTTAGCTCATGGAGATCTCGTTGTGCATTATGTTCCTACTTTCTATTGAGTTTCAACTAGCTGTTTTTTTAAGTTTTCTCCTTAATAGTTTATTTTTTTTCGTGAAAATATATGATATTTCAGATCTTTTAATTGTCATTTTTCATTCATTTGGACCTATATCATCGCATTTTGTCTTTGTTTTTCCTTATTGAGAGTGAATCTATCTAGGGCGACGAATCTCGTAGACCTAATAATCATTTCCACACTTAGGTCCTCACTCTACATGACTATTATTGTTTTTTTTTATCATCAAGGTGTCTAGCGGGATTCGAACCCGAGATCTCCGCTAGGACACGGTAACCTCCCATCTAGTGAACTGGAATGGTTGGTTACTATTATTTTATAGCGATCATAATGCTAGCTTTCTCACTCTCACTAAATTTCCTGTGTTTAAATTTGCATTCGAGTGTCAAAAGTTTGGTTGATATAGGTCATATAACTATGAGTAAGTAACAACAAATAGTAATCATAACTTATATCAACAATTTTGTGATCACGGTAATATATGGAGTAATAGGAAAAGTGATTTTTCCAAATTGGAAGTTCAATGTTTTTCTATTTACTGCATTTGAATTTTGAAGCTTCATAGTTCATACGTTTTCTGGAAAGAGCAAACAGACGTTTTTCTTTTGTTCAAATCAAGAAATCATCGTGTCCACAACCAAACAAATAACAAGATTTCATCAAACCCGAGAATCTGAAGAACCAAATTTGCCCTTCTTTGACCAAAGCCAAATCTTGGAAATAGAGAAGCTATCAGTTTTTGTTCCAATACTTAACCTTTTCCCATCTCCCTCTCCACCGTCAACCGCCGACGTGTGCGGCGGCGGCTCTTGATCGTCTCTTCCTCTCTTGAAATTCTTATTGAAGGCCACCCTGAGATTATCATCACCAACAACATATTGATATGATCCCATCGAGAAGCATCTTCTTGCATCCAAACTGCTACCACCAGGCTCACCCTCTTCCCCATTATTGCCATTTCCAACTTTACAGAACTTCCCCAATCTCACCGGAAGAAGGCTCCCCCCCTTTTCAGCAATTTCCTTGCGAGAAACCACGTCAGCAGAATCCAACCCGACATCCTCGTCATAATCAAACATGGGATTCTCCACGGAAGACCCGGGGTGGAAGAGCGTTCCTCTGCAGAGAGGACACGTGGAGTTCGACAGCAGCCACGTGCCGATACAGGCCACGTGGAAGGCGTGCCCACACATGGGGAGTAATCTCAGCTTGTCCCTCCCTTTGAACTCACACAAACAGACCGCGCAGTCAAATGGCTCCTTTGGCCCGCCGCCGTTTCCGGCGGCGGCGGATACGATCTCTCTGTAAACGAAGACCGGCAGGGCATCGATGAAAGCCTGGTCCAGTCCGGTGTCATGCTGATGGAAGAGCTGTTGGAGTTGTCTCTGGAGCGCGTCGGAGTTACTGCTCGTTTCTGGATGGTCTCTGCTGGATTCTCCGCCGGAAGGTTTCTTGATCAGGAATCTGACGAGCAAGTGGAGAAGCGCAGAGATGAAGAACAGAACGGCGACTATGATTATTGTGAAAAGAACCGCAGGGCTAAGCTTGTTTCCAGATGGGGTAACTGGGGGTGGGGGTGGGTTTTCATGGAAATTACCGTTTACCCCATGTGAAGGAGGGTATGCGATGATTCCTTTTCTTGAAGGGATCATATTTGATCATTCATCAAATATTTTTGGGAAAAGGAAACAGAGGACGAAAAATTACAAACAGGGTCTTATACCCATGAAGAATAACATGAGTAAAAATCGAAACTTTAACTCACCAGACCAAATACCAATCACCATACAACCGCCATTAATACATACAGATTGTTTGATTTCAGTTTCTTTTTCTTGCAGCAGTGGAATTACTCTGGGTTTCGCACGAAGGGAATTTGAATTTCCTTCTTTTCTGCCTCAGTCGAGTACAGGTATCTATTTAAAGTGTATGAGTGATTATCATATATAGACGTGAGAGAATCTGGGTCGGGTTGGGTTGGGTGGGCGTTGGTCACTAGCTGCTGCAGCTTGCAGCCTGCTGTGGTACCGAGATGGTTAAGACCATTAATTATTTTTAACTTAAAAGGAAAAGTTTAAAAGAAAAAGAAAAAGTAAATAACAGGGATTAAAGATTTAAAGTATATTGATATAAAAAATGAAAGCGAAAAAGAAGAAGAAAAGGGAAAGCTAAAGAACTCCGGATTTTGAACGAATCACCCGGGAACCCTAATCTTGGAATTTGATCTATGGTTGCCTCGCTAGGCGCCAAATGGAGGGGGTAGAGAGTAGAAACGTAGAGTCTCTCTGATGATTAAAGGAGCCTTGCTTATGGATGTTAAACACTAGATATTTTTTATATATATTTTTGTTTTATTTTATTAATAAAATATGTTTTAATTTTTGTAATCTTTAGTAGATTCAGCCGCTTCCGCCATTACTTTACAAATCCAGGCGACCTCAAAGGGATTTCCACTGGATTTGACGTCTGCTGTCTAGGTTAACTCATGCGTGGTTGACCTCATGATGGACTCGGATCCTCCTGTTTGGGCACTTCCAACTCATTCTTAAGATCTATGGAGAGTCCGACCTCCATGAGATTTTCACTGGGCCTGATGCTTGTTTTGCAGGACGGCTCAAGCATGGTCAACATCGTAGTGGGTTTGGATCTCCTTGTTCAACCTTTTATAGCTTGCTCATTAATTCTTTGTTTGGGCTGCGCCGGAATTAAGTTTCAATGTTACCAAATGGGTTTATAAACGAGTCTTGCTTTCTCTTCCTTTCTTTTGCTCTTACGAACTAAATGCAATTTTTTATAAAAAAAATTGTTTGTACACACCTTTCTTGTGCATGTCCCACACATAGATTTGTGAATATGCTGTTTTTTATGTATAAATGGGTTGTTCACATATAAAACAAGGGAAAGTTCCCGAAATAGGACTAAAACAGTTTCAAAATTCCAAAATAGGACTGTCACGTTTTTTATTCCCAAAATAGGACTAATTACTGTCATGTTTAGAAAGTACTGCCATGTTTGAAGTCTGGTACTGCCAAAACATGGCAGTAATTAGTCATATTTTGGGAATAAAAACATGGCAGTCCTGTTTTGGAATTTTCAAACTGTTTTAGTCCTATTTTGGGTAATATCTCATAAAACAATAGCATGTTCGTGTTTGGGATATGTACAACAAAGTGTGTACAAGAAGGATGGCAAATTTGTTTTTTTTTTTTGGTAATTTTCTATTCCGTGCCATTGATGGAAAGAGCATCCAAAAATTTGAAGTGAAGGGGTCTTCTAATGGGAGATTTCAACAAGTAGGAGCAAAATCTACGGATTTTCCAAAACTAAGACCAAAGATCAGAGTAAGATTCAACTACACTTGCATTGACCACAATACCCTTACTTTTAGAAAATAGCAGACATTAAATAGACAATAAATAGACAATAAGTAGACAATAAATAAACAATAAATTGATTGCAGAGCAGGAAACAGATGGTTTGATGTTTCCCGTGATGAAATTATTTTGAGAGGTCGTCAAGAATCTCCGTAACGACCATACAAAAATTGAAAATGATTGCAGATCGATTAAGATGAGATTGATTTCAGAAACAAACAAATTAATGGAGGAGTTGAGGTATAGTGGCGTTGTAGATGTGGCAAGACAGATCGAGAAGATGTGGCGTTGCAGCGGCCCGGTAGTCTGGCGGTGCGGCGGTGCAGCGGTTTGGAGGGAGGCCCTGGCGAAGATCTTGCAGATCCGTTCTTCTTTTCTTCTGTCGCAATTCTTTTTCTGTCTTCTACTTGATATTGTTTGGCAAATCCGTTTTATGTTTTAATATGGAGTGTTAAAGATGAAGGGCAAAACTGGAAAGTAATAATCTAGTTTTCTAAAATGGAACTAAATCAATCTCACCTATGGAAGAAATATACCCAAGTCCTACTTTTATAAATTTGCTACTTCCTCCGTCCCTTAAAACTTTGCCAACTTTCCTTTTTTGGATGTCCCACTAACTTTGTCACTTTCCCTTTTAAGTAAAGAATTTGTGGTTCCAGACTTCCAGTTAATTCTCTATCCTCTGCACAAACCTCGATCACAAAGTTTTTACTTTATTAATCCCCGTGCCGGTCAAACTTGGCAAAATTTTAAGAGACGGAGGTAATATGATTTAGTCTTAAGGAGAGCAATTTTCTCTCTTCTAATATCACAGCTCACAATATTTCCTTCCGTAATAACTTCTAAGATCCAAAGAATGTTGTGCCCAACTCCTAACACACCAAAGTCATGTTAGATAATCTTGCAAGCCATGTTAATATGTTGTCTATCAATGTGTCAATTCCTACAACCGAAGATTAAAACTGCATTGTCAAATAAATCAGTATTATTATCTTATTAAGTTGAAGTTGAATTAACAATTTCCGGTTGTTTGATTAAAGGGTCATTGCTCCATGAAAATTACCAAGCGGAGATGCGCATGAGAATTATAATGAAAAAATGTCCAATTAAGTAGAAGTTGAGAGTGGTGGAGTAAATAGCACATCAATTTGCAACTCAAACCTAAAAGTGCTTGTACTCGGTTGTTTGGTGTTAAAGTAGTACATCCGTTACACTATAAGATTAACATTGCTGACTTGGCAAACAGAGTTGTGAGATGTCACAAAAAAAGCCATGTCATCCGTAAAAAAAGCATCCAAAAGTTGGGATTGGTGCAAAAAACCAGATCTCGTGCTACAGTGGTAACCATCTAGAGTGAGGATCTGGTCGAGCTCCGCCACCTTCTGCGTGCTTGTCGCGGCTAGCTCTACAAAAGAATGTAGAGCTATGTTATCTATCAATGTGTCAACAAAGCTCTTTGACCTCCGTCGCGACACCACCGCTCTTATTTCATTCCTCCAGATACGAATCGCACTTCGTCGTAATCTAGGTCGTTGTTCAGGGCTCCGCCGTGCGCCGTCAAGTGAAGCTCGCCAGCTGCTGAATCTTCCCACCGGCTCTAGAGAGCTTCACTCACAGCACAAGAAGCCGCAACATTGGGGGTCACACTCCTCTCCTCTCTGCCAGAGACACAAGCCAAAGGCCACTGCAGAAGAACCAATAGCCGCTAGGGCTTACTTCATATGCACGAGACAACATGGTTACCCCTGGCATGTCTTTTTCACCAATCCCAAAAGAGAGGGGATGGGAGGATGCTGAGTCAGTCTCTAGTTGTATGAAGAAAATGGATCTTAATTGCCATGTTAGCGTTTATTAACAGTGCGTTTGTTTTTGTACTAGTTTAGCACTAGACATGCGATTATATGTACCATTGTGTTTGAATTGCAAGATGATGTACTATTTACTCCAAACGGTGCAACTTCATGTACTGAACTAACCTTTTCCTCGAATTATAATTGCAGCTACAAAAATGTGACTAACCTTTCTTTGTTTAATATACTTCTCTTTTAATTTTAAGCCCTACCAACCATACATCCATGTATCATGGCCTCCTCGCAACAACCACGACGGTCACGATCACATGTTTCAAGACAACATAACATTAATGTGTGACTTATGTTGCACGGTAACGTGAAAATCACGAGGAAACATGAAATTAGAAACGACATCTTTTACTTGAAAAAGACTTTTTGGAGAATTTCCAAAGATTTTTCGTTGAATTTTCGAAACGAATGTGTACTCTTTCCTGAGAGTTTCTTTGATACATAGGACTAACAATAATAGTGGCACTTGTGGTAATGGCAACACTGACACTGGTAAATAGTGACATAAAAGTCACATTTTCATCCATATATAAAAATAATCAACTTTATAATAATAGGAAAAATTGACAACAATAACCCACCTTTGACTGGTCTGCTCATAATAATAGTACCTTTGTGTAATCCCATAATAATCGCACCTTTGTAGCTCATCTTCTCTCATTGGATCCTGATCGGTTGATGATATATTATTCCAGGTTTTTTGTTTTTTCTTTGGAAATCTTACATAAATAATTTCACCATTCACAAATCTGCTCAAAACAGTTTCACGTTTCATTTTTTTATCCAAAAAATTATTTTTTTATTTTTATCCCTAGACACTTTTTAATCCTCTTTCCATCCTTTTGTTTATATTTCTTTTCCATATTTATTATTCTAATTCACACTCTATTATAAGAGTATTTTTGTAAAATTACTTTTCCGCATATATTTTTTGTCATTTTTTTCTTCCCGTATTTTTTATTTCATTTCCCCTTTTATGTGTTTCTTATTTTAATCATTCTATTTTTATTAAAGATTTTTCTACCACTTTACTTTTTGTTATATTTTTTTTATTTTCACTTTTCTCTTTTTTCTTCTTGTTACTTTAATTTGTTGTTGTTTTTTTTCTTTTCTTTCTTCTTGTTACCTTAATTCCACCATCAATATATATTTTTCTCCTTTCTTCTTATTTCCACCATCATCGTATTTTTCTATAGAAATTAGTTCAAATAGGACTAAAACTATGGCAAAAACCTAAAATAGGACTTGCTATGTTTTTATTCCAAAATAGGATCATATGAGTCCTATTGGAAACATACTTATTTTTGCATTCCATTCTTACCCTTCCATTAAATATGAATTAAAAATAGTCAAAAGCCATAATTAAATGTTTAATTCATAATAAATTCGAAAAAAAATCAAAAAATCGTAGAAATATAATTAAAAAATTTATAAAATTTTTATAAAATAAAAAATTCAAAAACTTTTTTTTTTAAATAAATTTATTTTTAAAAAAATTAATAAAAAATAGTAAAACTCTGTAAAAAAAAATTTTAAAAATATGGATGCCTTTCCCACCGCCTGTACTACCTCCCAGCACCACCACCTCCAGCCGATGAAAAAAATGCCATTTTCCCAGAAAAATGCCATTTTTTTTTTCTGAAAATGCCAAAAAAGTGGCATATTTCTCTTTTCGA